TCCTAAAACCTCGGCTCCGCACCGAGTGCATTTTCAAAAAACCTCGGTCTCGTACCGAGTCCATTTTCAAACCATCTTTAAAATAAATTTCTCTTTGTATTAAACAAAAAAGAGAGGATTGGGTGTAGACCTCTTCTTCTTCGAGTGTTGGGATGCCCACTGTAGTGAGGGTGGTCTCGACGCTCGTCTTTCAATACGAAGACGTTTCCACCATTTCTCACTTTCACAACTTCCTTCCGTAACCTTTCCTACCTAAAACCTCGGTCCCGTATCGAGTGCATTTTCAAAAATCTTTTCATAACAAAACTTGAATGGTCGTGGAGTGGTTAGGCGTAGGCCTTCTCCTATCCCGAGTGCTGACGTTTACCGTAGGGTTCTCTGTCGCAAAGTACTTACCGTTCAAAACCAAAAACAATTTAATAAGAGAACGAAGCTCTGTTTATGTTGAATTAAAGAGAGAGAATTGGGTGTAGACCTCTTCTTCTCCGAGCGTAGGGATGCCCACTGTAGTGAGGGTGGTTTCAACGCTCGTCTTTCAATACGAAGACGCCTCGTTCGCCACACCTTTTTATAACAAAAACTTTGAGATAACGAATTGGGTACTACCCGTAGGGGTTACTATCCGAGGACATGTCTCGCCCCTAAAAAAAATCCAATCAATCAAATGTGACATCTTGCCTTGCATGGCGAAAACCTAATCATTTCAAAAAGGATATGATACGTCCGTTCTACCGCAAACAGGTAACGCCTAAGTCTCCAACGAGCGAGCAGCAAAACACCTAACTGCGAGAATGCGCACGATAGCATCATCCATAAAAAACATCAACAAACCGTAGGCCGAACTACGGCTGCTCTGATTTCTCATACCAGATGAGAATACGTAGGCACAAGACGGCGATGTCTTGGCGAGCACAATCCCCCCTATCTGTAGTTTCCCGAACTACGTCGACTCTGACTTTCTCATATCTATTGAGAATACGTAGGCATAGGACTGCGAAGTCCTACCGAGTCTGTTCTTTCTCTTTTCTTCCCCGTTCTCCCTTTCCTCCTAACTTTCCTGTTTCTAATCCTTTTCTTTTACCTTGTGGAACACTTCTTATAGCATAATTTTTAAGCGAATAAATTCACACATCGACAAACAAAAGGTTCCCATCGAGTACGATGGATGCGAGGGGTGCTAATACCTTCCCCTCGCATAACCGGCTTCCGAACCCGTTCTTGGTCGCGAGACCATCTTATCCATTTCTTTCTTAAGGTTTTCTCGATATTTTCCTTTCCCCTCATGGGATAAATAAAGTTCGGTGGCGACTCTCCTGTCCTTTCTTCTTCGCCTCCCCGTCGTTGCGCGATGCATTTTTCGAGTAGCGACAGCTCCCTTTTTTCATCAAGATGAACCACCATCATCTCGCTTGCAGATAAAAAACAACATCAAAATATGTCAACACAACATGATAAGATTAAGAAAGTGTTTATCCATACCTAAGTATTCATCCACTTCGTTGTCGTGTTCACAATCAGAGTTGATAAGGGTACTAAGCTCTAAGGGGAGAAATTACTTCAGGACCTAAATCACTTCCCATTTAATAGGAGGAAGGACACAGGGGTCCAACCTCGCCATGGATTTGGGATCAGGAGTCCAAGATAGTGGAAGAAGGGGATCGCGTCCCGCGATAACATGAGAAGTATTGTCATGTCCTCTCATTCGCACAAACTTGTCCTTCCGATCCCCGTAAGGAATATTGAAAAGGGATTTAGCAAACACTCCCTAGGAAAAGGGCGCAACGTTACCCAACCATTACTGGGAATAAACTCCATCATAAAAAATTAAAAAAACACTCTGATAGAAAGGGACGCCTCTAAGTTGCAGTGGATCATTTGAAAAGCCTTAAGCATACCTCATACATTTGGAGTAACTTGTGAGGGAATCACATTAACAGTAGTCAAAAAATTTATTTCGAAATAAGAAAAAGGGACCAAGACCCTTAAATAGTAGATAACATGAAGATGAATATAGAAAGAAAGAGGAGACGGATCACCAGAGGTATCTACGTTTGCCCTCTCATCCTTCGAGCAAGGTTCCATGATCACTTCCCTCTCTCGTATTGCGCTAGAAAATTTAATGCCATGATGAAACTTGTTAATCATGTCATCATTAGAATACAAGGAACCAATGTCCTGAACTTGGATGGGATCAGCTTTCTTCTTCATAACCATTAGAAATAGGAATTCAAGTGAACAAAAATCTAACTCATAAGCCCTAAACCCTAATAAAAACCAAATCCTTAAAAAAATTAAGATTTTATCAAAGTCAAAATGATTATAATTAAATTTTTGTATAAATATATAATTATATTTTTAATGTGTCATTTTTAATTATTATAATTGTTTTTTTAAAATTTTGGTCGAGTTTTAAATTAGAATTGGGCCTCCTGTTTTAAATTAGACAGGATCTGTGAGACACGCCTAGAGACATATATAACATGGGGACCAAGGCAGATGAAGTCTCCACTGACTCTTAGAAGACAGGTGGTCGGTAAATTTTCCTATTTAGAAGGGAGCGATTAACACCACGAAAGGGATAAGAACCCTAGGACCAAAGGGCCTTTATAAATACCTCTCCCTCAAGGAGAGGGGGATAAACTCTAAGTCGTACAGACTTTCCATAACTCAAAGGGCATTACGCTCATTACAGTCTTAGTACTTACGAGTGACCTAACCGCCCACCTGCAACTAAGCATCTCCAGCCATCAATAGGGTCTCTCACCTCATGTGGCCTAGTCTCTTAAACTACCTCAAAACACCGCCGTACAAGACTTCTTTTCGTCGTAAGCAAGCCCTCACCACCAAAACATGTTATACACCTACTTAGAACTCTGAGTCTCTCTGCCCTTGTAGGGGAAGACACGCACCTATACTTCTTTTACCATTGCATACATATTCTTCACACATTTCACTAGGGATATGAATTTCAGGCGATCCTAAAACCATATTTTCTTCTTTAGATGACTAATATCTCTAAAATTGAGATGACCAAGCCTATAGTTTCATATCCATTCATCCTTGATAGTTGTAGTTTTTAAGAACTTATGCACCAATGCATCAAGTTCAATGTTGAAGGTGTTATTGTGTGACATAGGTTCCTTCAAGATCAATATTCCATTTGAGTCATGAACTTTCATCATATTGTCTTCTATAAACACTTTACAGTTCTTCCTAATCGAGTGGATAATGTTGAGTATGTTACTCTTCATACTTAGAATGTATAACACATTTGAGATAAATGATTGTTTTCCATATTTTCATAACCAAGACATATCCAATGCCTTATGTTGCTAATGTGTTATCATTTGCAAACTTAGCGTTATTCTTCATAGATTGATTAATATTGACAAATCATTCCTTCTTACCAGTCATATGAGAAGAACACCCTAAATCCAAACACCATTGATCTCTATATCATTCTTCTTATTTTTTCGTTACCATCAGCAACATATCCTCATCTTTTTACTTTTTTAGATTTACATCATCTTCTTGATCTTTTTTGCTCTCATAGCATTCACCAGCAAAGTAACCATATTTCTAAAAACTGTAACATTGAATGTTACTCTTGTCAAACTTATTTCTTCCTCCTCTACCCCTATGGTCACCTTGATTATTACTTGAGGAGCTAGCTTCTTACTGATAGTTTCTACCATTTGAAATTTTGTGTCCCCTTCTTCCTTGGTGTCATTCCACTTTCCTCTATCCTTTTTGTCTTTATTCAATTGTGTTTGCTATGCAACCTCTGGTTTTTCTTTGCTTGCAATTCTCTCTGTCATTCTTTGTTCATGTCATTCAAGAGACCTTTGCAGTTCTTCTTTTGTCAAATTTGGCAAATCTTTAGACTCTTCTATGACCACTACGATATGATCAAATTTTCGGGACAAAGATCTCATAATCTTTGCTACTACAAACTTGGTTGATATCACTTCCCTGCACACTTTGATTGAATTCGCCAACCTTGTCACTCTTGCAAGGAAATTACTTAGGCTTTCATTTTCTTCCATCTAAAGCAACTCATACAGCCTTTTGTGAGTTTGTAATCTCGCCTCATTCACCTTCTCATCACCACCAAATGATTGTTCCAATATGTCTCACACTCCCTTTGATGAATCAACATATCCAACCTTCTCAAAATTGTTTGGATCAACACACTGGTGAATTATAAAGAGAGCTTTACAATTATTTTTCTTCTTCAATTTTTTGTAGGCATTCTTCTGATCATCTATGGCACAATCACCAATTGGTGTAACATCATTTTTCACAAGATCCTGCACATCCTGATAGCAGAACACCGCTTTCATCTACTTACACCAATTACCGTAATTCTTTCCATTTAGAATGAGAAGATTTGTTGAAAAATGACCATTAGATGAGAATTCATTTTTTAGATCACCCAAGAACTAAACCAGAAGTTCTGGAGAGATGTTAGAACAAAACTCGAGCACGTGGAAGGAGGCACACGAGTTTTGATTCAAAACTTTGTTCACACACATAGCTTTGCATTTGGAATGAGAATGAATGGAAGAGCGGATAACTGAGGAGAGAGTAATCACACATTCACTTGTTATTCAATTATCAAAATACAAGAGTTTATATAGTTGTGACTTGCACTACAAAGCATCAACCAATTATAACTAACTACATTTCACTAACTGTCATATAACTAACTTGTTAATAATAGAATTTTAAACACAAACTAACTGTTACTTATATTCCAAGTAACTACAGGTAGGACACAAAGAATTACTCTCAACACAAAGACTATGGTAGTGTCTTATTTACTTCCCGGAATGACACTTTTTACACATAATACAAGATGAAAGGTAATGATACAAAGTACTACAGAATCACTACTATTAGCAAAAATGAAAGGTAATGATAATGATGATTATTAGATAATCATGAATTTATTTATTAACATCACACTTAATACTTATATTTCTGAAAAAAGCAGTAAATCAATGGGAAACATGAGGTGTGGAATCATCAAGTGGGTGCCAAAATCTGTTAAAAAGCCAAAGGGAATCAGCCTCAACAGAATAACCATCCTGATTTCTATGCCAGCTAAAATGAGCATGTGTTCTGTTCTTTATGTCGAAAATGGCATGTCCAAAGCTAGACTCTCTGAATGCCGAGTATTCCGGCTGTGGTTCTGTCATGTTGGTTGCTAACCGTCCCACATTCCCGCCATCTCCGATGGTTATGTATACCGGAGCCGATAGATCTTTCACAGGAGTGCATATACCATTTACAACATTATATGCAATATTCGACACACGTTCCGTTCTTTCGTATGCATGCACATGTCCAGCAAACACAACATCAACCTTGTACTCAACAAACCATGGCTCATACATTACTCTCATTGTTTCCCCTTCCATGTAATGATAATTGTAGCTGTTGTACCAAGGTGCATGCATTACAACAATCAACCAAGGAGTTTCTGTTCTGTTAACTTTCAGTAGCTCCTGTTCGAACCATTGGTTCTGCGGTGTGTATTTTCCGTATGCAGAATACGAGGCCAACACAATGATATGTGCTGAAGCTCTTTTGATAGAATACCAAAAAGGGGAAGTACTCTGTGATGCTTTATAAGGAGTATAGTATCTGTTCGAATAAGGTTTGAAAGGTTCAGTTTCGCCGATTTCTGGTGCGAAATCAATTTCATGGTTTCCTACTGTCCATATCCAAGGTTGATAAGCCACGCTCCTTTCGACAAACCTTCCCCAAGTATCCCGCCTAAGATTGACATCGTACGGGAAGTTTTCTGCATAAGAGAGATCTCCGACAAACAACACTGTTTGCCCGTTTTTCGGATTCAATTCATAGTGAGAAAGTGTCTTGTTTGAATCATAACTCTGACCAAGATCACCTATGAGACCAAACGTGTATGGCACATCGAGACCGATCTCAGGAGGAGTCATAAACCAAAACTGTCTTGTTGTGTTTCCAAGTCCAACTTCGTAATAATATTTAGTGTTGTACTCCAAATTGTTTATAGTAGTGTGATGAATAAAACCAGATGAGTAATTGAAGAATCTATAAGTAACAAATTCACCTTTAGCTATCTTCTTTTTCTGCTTGCTGTTCTCACTCCAGTAACGCACTGCGTTTGACCCGGGTTCATCTTCGGTTATCCACGACACAATCACTGCTTTCCCAACAAGATCACCTTGTGTTATATGAACCTGTTGGGGAGCATTATAACCAGAAGGAACAGAAAACACATCACTATCAAGTGGCATAGTAATGCCCTTCTGAACATTCCTGACAAAAGTACTAGTTGTGCCTCCGTGACATAGTAACAAACAACTCAAAACCAAAGTTAGTGGTAGTAGAAAACCAGGAAATGATGATCCTCGAAAATGACTCATTTTGTTCTCAAACTCACAGATCCTAATGAATGAGTATAGTAATAGTATGAATTAAAATAAAAAAGTGGAGTTGGCATATAATGTGGGCTATTCAGATTTGGAGTCAACCAAGAAACAGCATGTGCAGAGAAAACAAGGAAGCCATTACTTCATGACATGACCCCCTTTGTTTTGTGTGGTGTGAACTTGTCTACCAAGTCAAAAGAAGGGATAAGGTGGAAATAATTTTCCACAGCATGTTGATAACTAGTATTTCTCATTTCGCTGTTAAAGAATAGTTCAAATCAAGTGAAAGTACAATAGAAGAAATCCAAATCCACTCAACACATGATATAGATTGATAATTTTGCTTATTCAGTCTAAGGAAATCATGTGATTGGTTCAACATTTATCGTTTTATCTAGAAAGATTTTTCAAGTGTATTTTAATTTACACCGTGTTTGATTCAAGTCATGTGTATATATTTCCTCGTGAAAAATGCTTGAAATTCAATTAAAGATATACTATAATGAATGAAAAGAGTGCTACGAATGAAGAACCCGTGTCTGAAGCAAGCATTTAGTATTTGAAGCTAAAAATACTACATAATGTTCCATTTGTGCACAGTATCAGAATGAATATATTACAGACCACTGCAAAAGCAAGTGCCTTAGTCGGGCAATGCAGTTCCTCGCTCGAGGTTATTTTTAATCTCCAATGTGTATTTACCAAAGGCACGTTCAATCTTCTTATTGAAATGCTCATTACGGTCATTGATCGAGTCAACATCTTTCTCTTCACGAAATGTTCTTCTCCTGCTAAATGCCCTGCGTTTCTCATCCCTATCCTTTAGCTCTTGAACCATCCTATCAATCTTGTCCTCTGAGATTTTTGGCGCCTATAACGAAGGAAAGATGACTCATAAAATATCATTGATATGCATAAGTAAAAAAAAAATTAAAAAATTAAAAAATATATAATATAAAATAAAATAAGAAAACAGAAGATAAATTATGTTTTAACAGTATACCTTTCCATACTGAAGACTTGATGCGTCCCGGTAGAATTCTGGATCAGCTTCTTTCATTCTATTGTATTCTTCTACATCGACTTCAATGTTCTTGGTCCTCTTTTTGTATGCATTGTATAATGTCTTTTGATTAAAAACTGGTAAAAGTAAAACAAATAGTTACATTAGCTTCCTTTCCGTCAGAAATTCTAAATGAATACCATTCTCTCATTCACCTTTCCTGTGATCAAGACAAATATTATGAGGTGTTATCATGTCTATAAACACTTCTTTTTCAATATTTTAGGAATCTCCAAAATACTAAATATTGATGAAAACAAATCTAGGAATCTCATCTAAGGAAAAGATATTTTAACCTTCATTTAATAAAGTATAATATGACATTGTGATGCTGTTTAATCCTTGTAGTCAATCTTACAAACTCTATAGGGGTCTGAAAATACTGATATTTTTGGGAACCACATTGAAGCCGACACAGCGAATAAAGTTATATCTATTTGTAATACTTGTATACAAACAAGAACATATATAACCAAACCAGCTAGAAAAGTAACATACTGATTGATTGTGCAAGAACATTTCTTTGTCGAATATAGATGAACATACCATCCCAACCAGATGGAGCAGGATCCTTCTCCCATTTCTTGTATTTCTCTTCTGCAGCCTCCTGTGTGTCAAGCATATATGCCTTTGTCATGTCCAATCCATTAGCATCAAGAAGCTTTCCAATCTTTTTCTTTCTACCATCAAGCCACTTCTGCTTAGAAACACCTCTAGACTCTGTTGGAGCCTCCATCCTCTTTTTTTCATTAGCTATTTCAATTTGATTACGTTTCTTTGCTTCTTGCTGTCAGGGAATCAAAGTAAAAATCTTAAGTTTGTTCCACAAAATAAATAAAAGTTATAAACATGCTATTTTTCATTAAATAATACCATTTTGGCTCTCAACTCCATCCACTTTTTCTGTCTGGCAGAGAGTTTGGGGAAGGAGCCATCCGTGTTTTCTATAGCAGGCTGATCAGGTTCACTATCAGATTTTTCTTCAGCTTTCGGTCCATCATCGTCATCATGCATTCCGTCATCGTCAGGATACACTTGCTCACAGCCACTTCCACCACTACCTTGAGCAACTTCTAATATACCCAGAAAACACCGTGTAAATAACTTTCCACAGACAAACTCATAATCATATATAACCAAAAACAATACTAAAATCCGTCGTCTAAAAACTATAAATACAACCAAAAACAAGATAAATTATCACAAAAGAAAAACTCATTCGGAGAGGTGTATAATTGATTTTGAAATAATTTTGAGATGTTTGGTTCTTCTATAGTATAATAATTGATTTTGCCTCGAGAATTGATTCTACTTGAAGCTAGAGTTTGTAGCTTTAGAGTTTAAAACTGATTTTACATTGAAATTTACTCTTCAACTCAATTTTGCATAAAGTTGTCCAAACATCAAACATTAATCATTAATCATTTTAATGTCAACTCATTTTTAACCGAACCGACAATCATGATAAATTCACTCAAAATCAATTTTTTTTCAGACACTTATCAAAATCAGTTATAATTCTAAACACAATGAAACCAATAGATAAGTATTATCCAAATTATCTTGTGTAATTGAAAAGCTGTTATAATTCTAAACACAATGAAACCAATAGATAAGTATTATCCAAATTATCTTGTGTAATTGAAAAGCTAACCAGATTCATGTTGCTGCATCCTGAGTTTAGCTTCAGCGATGACTCTAAAGCAGTAATCAGTACATTCATGAAAGGGATTACTTGCATTCCGGCAATCGGGATGCACATCGGACATGTTTGGTTGCTGCAAAATAACAAACATGGCGCATATTACAAAAACTCTATTTTAACAAATAATTTATATTTTCTAAAATTGAAAAGAGATAACGCAATACAGAGATTGGAATTGAAAGAAAACCTATTTGTTTTGTGCGTTGCGTTGAGAGAGAAGATGCGTTGCGTTGAGAGAGAAGAGAAGCAAAAAGCGTGATTTAGGGTTGAAAGAGGAGAAAGATATAAACCTGAATGTATAAGATGTTTTCTTTAAGATTATGAGATTTGATTTAAATTTTCAATGGGATTAGATAAAATTTTAAATTATTTAATTAGATTTTTTTAATAAAAACTTACTTTTGAAATGCTCTTCTATCCGTTTTTTAATGTGTATGAATGAAAATATAAATGATATTTTTTGTTTAAATAAAATTTTTAAAAAATACAATAGTTAAAGTTAATAAAAAGAAGTTCGGTGAAAGTTAATAATAGAAAGTTATTAAGTAAATTACACAATAAAGTAAGGATAAAGATGATAGAAAAATAGACTACACCAAAACAAAGTATTACGTTTATATATTGTATAGAAATAACATAAATATTAGAGATATCCGTTGTTTGTCTTTCACAAAAATTATATAATTTCGATTAATAGCAAAAATAACATAAATATTAGAGAGATCCGTTATTTGTCTTTCACAAAAATTATATAATTCCGATTAATCACGAGAAAAAACTATTTAACTTTTTACAAACTTAAATCGATGTTAGTTATGTGTCACCATGAAACTTTAAATTTATGACATGTATCGTTAATTTGTCTACGTGGTATTATCGATATTAGGATAGTGTCATCATGAAATTTTAAAAATTTCTTAAAGAATAAGTTAGTCCCTCATTAGAAAAAGAAATAATTAAATAAGAGTAGAACTGTTTTTATTTTTTTCCTTAAGAAAGAGAATTAGGATTTTCTCTTCCGTCTCTTGAGTCTCACACTTTTATATTTTTTCAGTTTCTAGTTTTTCTCCTCTCACAAGGTCACGCTCATTTGTTTTCAACGAGTTCAATTTCTGATGTTGAGAGTGATTACAAAAGATTCAACGGGAGAAACGACATACGACATATTGGAGACGAAGACAAATGTACATTTTTTTATTATTATAACTTTAACATTAGAGGATTTTAAGAATGTTATTTTTATATAAGAATGATAAGAATAATTATTAGTATTTACATGTGTCTCATCATTTATTAATGATGAAAGAGACACATATTATTCTTAAATGAATTTTTTAATCTCAATCATTTATTTTTAATTTAAATGCTAATAATTATTCTTATCATTCTCTTATGAAAATAGCATTCTTATTATATATATATATATATATATATATATATATATATATATATATATATATATATATATATATATATATATATATATATATATATATATATATATATATATATATATATATATATATATATATATATATATATATATATTCACTGTGTTGATGGAGAAAAAACTGAGTCAGGAGCATCCAAAACAAAATATGACTACATAAAACTAATTATAATTGTACTAATTCATTTTGTAATTATATTTAGTATTTGCTATGATTGACCATTACAATAACATTTTATATTTCTTATATTTGAGCATTATAATAACATTTGTTATTTCAAAAATAAAAGTAGCACAATAGCTATTTTAAAGAAAATATTTCCTTGTTTTGTGTTAATGATTATGTTATTCAACTATGTTGATGTGCAAGAGTGTTTGTAAGTGATTTTAAAAGTGACTCTGATAGTGATAACTTTAAGTCAGACAATGAAAGTGATGTGATGAAAATGATGATGTCAGTAGGAACCAAGTAAATATTGTTGAAAAGTTGGTTGATTCAAATGGGAAAGATAGTGACAAAGCTTTATTTGAAGTTGCTAGATATGCATCATATTCTAAGCATACGAGGACTCCAGGATCCATACACGATGAGGGAATTTCAAAGTTTAAATTTTTTTTTAACTCTAATGCTATTTTTGGAAAAGTTAGACTAGAAGAAGAGGTGAGATTTATAACACTAGAGGATTTTACTCTTGGAAGGGAAATTAAGTGGAAAAAGAATGACATAGTAAGAGTTAGGGTTGTGTGTCATGTTAAGGAATGTCCTTGGGTTGCCT